AACAAACAGCTAAACCTTCAGAGCCAGGAGGCGTGGCCTGTCGGCTCCGCGTGTCCGTTCTCTTCTGCTTGAATTTGAATCCCAGCAAAAAAAACCCTGAATACTAAACTGAGATGTGTGGTGCTTTTCAGTGAGCGTGATTATTGGATCAGATATCACAGATGTTTGTATTCACACTGCTTCAGCTGCTCGCCTTCAGGACACAGACGGACAAAGGGCTCTTTAATCCAGATGAAACAGAGAATAATGGGCTGGAAAATACCTCCAACACAACGTTAGCAACTCACAAACACACACGTCAGTTACTGCCACCACAACAATAAAATAAATACTTTTCAGTGTAATTATGACTCATGTTTCAGTCTTCAGTGGGAGTATTGTGGATTATTGATGACGCGCTTAATAAAAATACTAAACACTGTATTTTTGGTTTGGGTCTGTAAACGTGACTCGTGCTGTTGCTTTTAAAGATTAACATTAAAACATTAAAGTTTTAATGTGAAGAGTCATAGACAGGAAGCTTGATGGTTCAGTGGTGAGAGCGTCATAAACATGTTGGTTGGTTGAGTCCAGCACGTGTGTTAAAGCTCATGGATGAGTCATCGAGTCTCATGATGTTTTCCTCCCGACGAGCTCAGGACTGAACCTCCGTGAGGAATCTGACGGCTGATTGAGACGCAGCAGGTTGAAGTGTGTGTGTGTGTGTGTGTGTGTGTGTGTGTGTGTGTGTGTGTGTTTCTCACATGCCTGTTTGTGTTAATTATATTTTCACAGCTGTGGTGACCTGCATGTTTCTGCAGAGACAGCAAAAACTCAACATCTTCAGTTCAACCTGACACACGCACGCACGCACGCACGCACGCGTCTGACCTGAATCACAGTAAATCCAGTGAATCTGAGAACCAGGATGTCCTGGTGGTGCGTTCACTGACAGTATGGAGATTCTTGCTCAGTAATAATAATCCACGTGTCATGGACCCAGAAATGTGTGACTGACACCTTTGCTTTATTCTTGTGAATTCTTATTGGCCGTTTTTATTTAATACAGGTCAGGTGACCCTTTTTGGGTTTAACAGGACGCCGAGTCAACGAACGGCTGGGTGTCAGAACCTTCCTGAAGCGT